TCGACTAGTAATCAGAATACCTCGATCTGAAACTATTGTGATGGGGACACCATGTAACCTTACAATCTCATCAATGTACAACCTTGCATATTGTGCCAAAATATGAGTATAGAGGTGTTTGGTTTAGATTAAAGATAACTGTCACGATCTACACCAACATCGACCTATAAGGTATTGTCCACTTTGGTTTGCTATCCTTATGGCTTTGTATCACAAAAGACGTCTCACAAGTCGAAAGTGGTGTGACCCATTCAATTGCTAGTCTCACTCTAGTACATATGCCCAATCTCATTTTAATACACAATTGATGAGGGATTCATGGCTCCCTTTTATGCCCATGACATCTTTCTTTAGCTCCCTATTGAGAGCTTCTTTTCAATGTGGATTTATGACTTCTTGTTGGGACCATGTATTCTCTCTAATGTAGGATTCAAGGGCCCCAATTGGGACTGTGCATCCTCTCTCACTTCATTAAGGGCACATTGTCCTCAGTGGCATATTGTTAGTACCTTTGGGTTTATTTTGAAACCAACTGCCACGATCCACACCAACACCAACCTGTAAGGTATTATCCACTTTGGTTCGTTAGTCTCACAGTTTTGTCCTATAAGAAGATGGTGTGAACCATTAAATACCTAGTCTCACTCTAGTATACAACTAATGTGAAGTTCATGGCTCTCTTTTGGGACCTTAGCATCCTCTATCGGTTCTCTATTAGAAGCTTCTTTTAATGTGGGATATATGACTCCTCATTGGGACCATGTATTCTCCCTAATGTACGATTTAATGCTCCTCGTTGGGACTATGACATCTAATCTGAAACCCTTAAATTCTTAATTACATGAATGAATGGGATAATTAGTTTGGTGAGCTTGTGGAATTTCTCTTCAATGTAGGGTCAATTCTCATGCATGGAAGGTTGATCCCTAGACATAAAAATTGGTAGATGCTCTTTGGATTTCAAAGATCGACACTTGCCCTTTAAGGGGTCGATCCTTGGACAATTTGATTAAAAAATAAAACCCTAAAACTTCTAAACCTGAGCCACTCTTCACTTTTTATTTCTTCATTTTTCCTCTTATTTTTTCTCAAAATGTCCTCCTTACAATGTCCTCAAAGTTCCATTATCAAACCTTGGGTTCTAAATGGTAAAAGTAAAAATTGCAACTCTTAAAATTATGGGTTTTAAGATTTTAGCCCTTTTTTCTCTAAAATCAAAATCTTAGGTTAGGTTTTCAAGGTTTTGGCTAGATTCCTCCAATAAAAGACTCACCAAGAAAAGACAATAGGTAAAGTAAGGCATTTATTTGATAAATATGAAGTTTGGAAGAAGGTTTGATGAATATTATTGATAATAAATGTAGTTAAGTTTGAAAATGGGTACTTTGATATTATGGATTTTTAGAATATTTATGGTGATATTAATGATCGATTGTTAACTTAAGCAACATTGAAGATTCTAACTTGCCGTGTTGAGTGAGATTCAATCGGTTGCAGGTGCACAGAAAGTATTGTGAGTAGATACACATTTTAAAATTATTTTAGGTATACCTAAGTATATTTTAGAGGCTTATTAAAGTATGAAAACTTAAATGATTGATTGAATGTATTCAATGCCAAAGGTTTAGAATGAAACGTTTTGTGTATGTATGTATATAGATATGAATATTATATATATATATATATCTATGTTTTCATGAGGAACAAGGCTTTCAAATTATTGAAAAACGTCATTTCAAAATAACTCGAAAATTGAAATGAAAATAGTTTGGGTTTTCACAATGATTATAAATTGATGATGTGATTTGTTTGGTTATTTAGCACTTTTGGATTTATTATTTGCTTTAGCACTTTTGGAACTTTGTTAGGTGCCGTAGCACCTTTTTGCCTTAGCACTTTTGGATTTATTATTTGCTTTAGCACTTTTGGAACTTTGTTAGGTGCCGTAGCACCTTTTGACTTTGTTAGGTGCCTTTAGCACCTTTGAACTTTGTTAGGTGCCTTAACATCTTTTGACTTTGTAGGTGCTGTAGCACCTTAGGATTTTGGCAATGAGTTTTAGTACGAACGAATGTGTGCCTTAATACACTTGTATATAATCATAGTTGGATCATTTGTATTACATGGTTGTTCATATATTATACTTCCTCATATGCCTATTTGGAATGCACATATTATCATGATCGAGTTAAATGTTTATAATGTATGTTTGGAAATTGATTGTAAATTTGATTGGATCAAATTCTCTTATAGAAATATATTTGGTTCACTAAATGTAGAATCATTGGTATTTTGAAACTTTAGATTTGAAGAATTGAAAAAAAAAATTAATTTCAAGGTAAATAAAGTGAAATTGGAAGGTTTTAAGGTTGAAATTTGGAAGTGCAAAGATCGGCCCTTAAAGACCAATGGGTCGATCGTTAACTAGCAGAACACCCAATGAAGTGTTCTGTATCAAAAGGATCAATCCTTCATCAAGGAAAGGTCTATCCCTATAGTTGAAATTACATTGTTTTTGGTATTTTGATCTCGTTTTGAGGAGTTTGTTTAGATAACCTTAGATCAAGTTTCTAAGGGACTTTAAGCATAATTTTTGCATTTTAAGGAATGTATAATTTTCTCTTTTTAAATGTATTTGATTAGATCTTGGGTTTGCTTTGCAAAGTGGCATGTTTTATGCGAATTTGTTTATTCGAAAGCTCCTTTGTTTCTGTTTGTTCTCTTTTTGTATTTGCTCACTAAGCTTTTACATCTCATCCCACGAAATATCTACTTTTGTTTTTAGATTAGTAGATTTTTAGTTAGCTTATAAGGGTTTTCTCTTTGCTGGCACTTGATAGGTGGATGTTAACACATCCCATAGAGGTTTTCCACTTTTTGTTGAGTTATTCAACTGAATTTGAGTCATACTTTGTTTTGGTTAAACATATTTTGATAAATGATTATACTTAGCTACTGATTGGCATACTATATGTTGATATATGAACTTGCGAGTTTGTTTTTATGGTTTTTCACATTTACATGTTGTTGAAAAATATTATAAATTAAAAATTATATATATACTTTTGAGTGTAATTATATGTACATGTAGACTTATTGAGATGAGGTACTCTCAAATGTTATGTTTTGTTATCTAAATGGATTTGGTATTGAAGGCTTACTTGGGTTGAGTGGGCTTGACTGTTAAGTTCTTGTGTCAGTCATGGTCAAAGATGGGTTGTTACGAAATTGGTATCAGTGCATGTGTTAACTTGATGTGGGCTTTCACATTGCACTAGTGAGATTTTGGTCTTATGGAGTGAGTTTTGATTATGATTTAATATGTAGCTTTGATGAGGACATCAAGGATTTGAGTAGATGGGATTGTAATATCTTATTCCATTTGAGATGTAAATATGATTGTTAATACTTATATAAGAATCCAAGTCAATAGCTACTAGCAATTTGAGTTTAAGCTTTTAAGAGCCACGTGTTTTAGACTTAAAAAGTTGTTGGACCAATGGATTTGGACCTAGGTTATTAGAGTTGGTATCAAAGTGAGGTCTAAGGTATTAGCAATATGCCATTAAGGACAATAAATCTTTGTTGGAGTGGAGGTGTTATGGTCCTTGCAAGGAGCTGTGAATTCCACATCAAGAAAAAATTTCATGGTCCCAAAAGGATCAAATTCAGAGTCGCCACTAAATTTTTTTTTTATTAAAAAGGTGTGAAATTCATTTTATTTGACAACATGAAAAGTGTGATTGGCTTCTAATTAAATTTTTTTATGTAATTGGCTGGTAGTTAAATTTTTTTTTTATAACGAAGGTGTGAAATTCATTATATTTGACGACCTGAGAGGTGTGATTGCTATTTAACAATGTGAAAAGTGTGATTGCTATTTAACAATGTGAAAAGTGTGATTGGCTACTAATTCAATTTTTTATATGAATGGTCGCTAATAAAATTTTTTTATAAAAAATGTGTGAAATTCATTATATTCGATGATATGAAAGATGCGTCAACTAAATTTGTTTCACACCTGTTAAACTCATTCTATTTGGCAACATGATCAAATTGGGAATCATTGCCAATTTTTTATAAAAAATGTGTGAAATTCATTCTATTCAAAGACATGAAAGGTATGACTGGTTGCCAATTAAATTCATTTTATAGTTATTAAATTCGTTTTATTCGATGACGTGAAAGTGTGGGAGTTGTCACATCAAGAGATTAAATTTGCTCTATTCAACAACATGAAAGTGTGGGAATTGACGACATGAAAGTGTGTGAGTCGCCACATCATGAGAGGACCCGTCTGACTTTGTGAAATTCATTCTATTCAATGACGTGAAAGTTGTGATTGGTCGTCAATTAAATTTATTTTTCACCTATTAAATTCGTTCTATTAAACAACATGAAAGTATGGAAGTTGCCACATCAAGAGATTAATTTATTCTATTCGACGACATGAAAGTGTGGGAGTTAACAATGTAAAAGTGTGAGAGTTGCCACATCGACAGAGAACTTGTCTGTCTCGACATGAAAATATGAGAGTTGTCACTAATTTTTTTTATAAGGTGTGATTGGTTGCTTATTAAATTCATTTCACACTTGTTAAATTTATTTTATTTGACAAAGTCTTAAATTGATTTCAGATCCATATAAAGAACAATAATTTGGTCTACAAGTTTTTAGAGTTTGGATTCGAAAATGCAGTTAAGCAAGAAAAGAATTAGCTCCCTATGACCGTTCCACAAACAATATCATTTAATCATATATTATACTATTTATTCTCTTACTTGGGATGCAAAAAGTTGCAATCACATATTAATTAACCTTCATTCTTTTTGTATAGAAGAGAAACTAAAGTAACTTACATTCTTTATGTATCATAGTTGTGCTGAATATACTTTGTTCGTTCATATCTTAAGCCGAATAAGTTGAAGTGAACATGGTTGCTGTTTTTCTATTTCTTTTTTCAGTTTTGATGTCTTAAGGAAATAACAATATTGTTATAGGAAAGCACAAAGGATGCTGAGGTAATTGGAGTTGCAGAGAGACCAGGTCAGGGAGGCTTACAAGTGTATGAGTTTGAGTACAAGGTTGATAGCACCAGGGGAGGAATGAAGAGGATCTTTTCAGCTGCTTTTGTGGCGTCAAAGAAGCTCTACCTTCTCAATATTGCTCATTCAGACAAGCCCGAAAGTCCTCTTGATACCCATACAAGAGCAGTGCTGGAAGAGATTCTTCATTCTTTTGATGCAGCACCTTCTACATAACATCACTGACCCAGTGTTCCTTGACACGATGACTTCATGCTTCTGCTTCAGTATTTTAAGCCTGGTAATTGCTGCTGACCTATTTTATTATGTCCTGTTAAATTGAATGGGAAAATACCAGCAGCACACTGCTGAGAATGAACACTGAATGCAGGAAATTGATTAATTTGAATTATTGTCATTTATAAAGAACCCTGGCCTTTGCAATGCAGGAGCCTTGTCTACTATGCACCCTTTTTATTGATAAAAAGAAACGAGAAAGGGAAGAAAAAAGAAAAGAAAGAAGAATGGGTTCTTTTTTGAATCATGCCAAAAAAGGCAGATCAGTGATTCTGTGGGTTTTGTGCGGTGTAGGTATTTGTATACAACTAGATGTTGCTCAAGCTTCTCCATTGGTTTCCATGGCAAGAAAATGCAAGTCATGCAACACCTTACATATGAGCTTTGTTTAAGCTTCTGGTCTTACCAAACTATATTATGATCAGGTAAATATGGCAGGTCAATGATATTCTCAGCTGGGATCTGAACAGTGAAAAATCATTATTTATTATCCTTTCAAAGTGAGGCAAATTATTTGAGAATCACCCTTAGTAATAAATTTAATGCTTCATGTTGGTATTAATACGGGTAGCAGAGAAAAGTTGTTACTGTGGGGTTTATCTTCTTTACATGATATGTAGTTTTACTACCGTTTTGGCATTTCTGATAACGGATGGTTGTAAAATAGTGAGAGAACCATCAAAAATGCATGTCATCATCTCTGGGTATTGGTGTCTTGCGCAAGCTTGGAGTTTCTTTCCTTTTTTTCTGTTTTTTTTTGTTGGGTGCTTGTTTGAAGTAATGGCCTCTCATTTATACACCAAATTGACCTCAATTCAAGATCATTAAGTGATTTTGTAGATGTTTTTTTTTTCTTTCTTGCCTCTTGGGTCTCTAATTTTGATGAACAATGAGAGGTGTGTGAAGGCAATGGATGATTTGAAATTTTATTTATAAAAAGGAAATTAGATGTACATGTAATAAAGTATGAATATATAAGAAAAAAGAGAATCTTTTAGAGTACGGGAGTCATTAATAATTGTTAAAATTGAAACGTTTGATCGTAACTGAAAAAATATTTAAACACTTAACCTCAATTTTTATTTATGTTAATAAAAATGTAAAAATCAATTATATCAACTAAATGCAGTCTAAATGTTTTTTTTTTTTCATTTGTGGTAAGATTTTGATGGAATAATAATGGAAGGATGGAACTACTTTAATTTTATTGGGTTTGAGCTTGATTACAACTTTGGAATCTATGGCTGAAGAGGCCAATTTTTAATTTTTGGAAGGGGAAGTAAATTTTATGTGTGTCCACTATTAAATGTGATGGTCTATCACAAAGGGAAAGATTAACCATTCTGCACTGTAGTTGAGAACGCCAATCCTCTGCCTCGACTTGGCGCCCCATTCTTACCTCAGCCCCAAAATTAGGCCATCTGTCCAAATTATTAAAATCCCCAAATAACTGTTACTGTGTAAATAAAAAAGAAAAGCAAGTGAAGAATATTCGAGACTCCCACCTGATATGACTTACAGCAAAACAAGTTCTCAAGATAGGTAATGATTTGATGCGAAAATGAAGTAGTATTACTAGTATTAATCATCTGACTACATTGAAATTCAATAAATGCAAAGGTAGTTTCCACCACCAGTACTCAAGATAGGGTCTCCAAGTGAAATCAAAAGCAATTCTCACACACAGCAAAATGCAACATAAGATTGGTTGAATCTTGGAAAAACACAATTAACCCAATATTCCTTGTCCTTGAAGAAGCTGGTAAACATCTTTCATTGTTTAAGAAGATTTCCATCTTGACAAAGGGTCCAAAATACTAAAGAAAAAGAAAATAGAAATGGAGAAATAACAACAATAATAATGGGGACCAAAGATACCCTCAGAGACTTTTTTGATTGTCTTGTTCGAAAACCCTCTTAAATAAGGTATCTTAAATTCTTCTTCGGATTCAATGTTTTTTTCCTAGTTGGGGTTTGTAACTCTCTAGAAAGTGAAAGGGAAATGGGCTTCGTTCTGGGGTTTGTAACTCCAGGATCTCAGTTGAAGAGAAGTTGTAAGACAAAACAGATGGAATTCTTTAGTTCAATACCAGAAGGGAAAAAACAACAGAGAAGAGACCAGTTAAATACATCCAACTTTTGAATCGTTGGTTGCAAATACTTCATGTTTCGTAAAAAGAAAAAAAAAAAAACCCAACAAAAAATATATTCAATTGTCCCAAGCTTTGGTGCTGAACAATCCAAAAAAATGGTAAAGTTTTTTTTCTTTGCCAAATATCGACTATACAAGCATTTGTAACAACACATAATGAGTTGGGGTAAAAAATGATTGACCATTACTACATGCATGGACCTCTACTTAATTGCCTGCCTGTATTTGTAGATTGATTGAGCAAACAGCACTCTCCAAATTATTGCTGGTAACACCATTATTGAACTTATGGGGAAAAAAAAAAGAAAGAAAACCAAATTCCCATTCATCAGTTAATTTCCAAAAATTGGTGCTAGTAGAAATTTAGAAGCATTCCTTTGGTGAATATAACATTTGGATATAATTTGTGTTTTCACCATCATCCATTTCATTGTACAACAGGAAATGCAGTGTACCAAGATATTGAATTTATATCTTTTTTTTTCAGTTTGTTGTTCTTTAAGATGGTCAATCATATTTAGATAAAAAAAATTAATAATGACTCTCTAAATTACCTCTACATCTAGCAATTAGGTTCCCGAGCCAGCACATTGCGACAACTACAAAAGAATGTCACACCTTAATATCCAATTATTCACTTGCCATCGTTACAGTCAATAAATAAATAAAAGCGATTATGTTAAACTGACACTCAACCCATTCCAGCGGTATAATTAGGCAATAGATCTGGAAGCACCTCCACCCTTGGCTTTGCACAATTATTAGTTGGCCAGATGTAAGCAAAATGGTAAACAAGGCTACCATAATTAATTATTATTATTATTATTATCATCATCATCATCAGCTTAAAAATAAGCCTATATTGATCACTATAATAATGCATGATATGGTATGACAAAATTAGCTATTACTTAGGATCTCCAAACACTACATAATCCCGGCAAAAGGGCACTTCTGTCTGCTTCTGTATTCAAAGTTTCAACAGATGGCGTCCAACCATGTTTTACCGACGTGGCTAAAAAATGAAAGGTCAACTTCCCTGTGAGCCCTCATTGAACAGCTAGCGTTAGTTCATGTGGACTATAAATAGGATCTTTCCCAGGGAAAGAATCAGAAAAATCAATATTTGTCTGCTTAGATATTTATATATATATATATATATGTATATATATATTCAAGCAATGAAGATGAGTCTTTTGTTGTTTTGGCTAAAAATGAAAAGTCAAACCTGGGGTTGTGGGATGGGAAGTTAATGCAGAAAAAAAATGGGTGCATGAGGTTACAATTTTCCAACACGATGTTGACACGCACATATATATACAAAAAGGATATGTGAAACCGCAAATAAACAATAGCCGTTATTATACTTGCTTGGAGGGAACCAGTAACGAAATTTCAAACACTGACCTTTGATTCTTGTGTAAACAAAGATGGAAAGCATATGCATTAGTCAACCGTTCTTTCTCTCTCCCAAATCCTTTTTGAATCTTCCTTTGTTATCGCACTTCCATATGACTGCTTTAATTCCCATTCAGACCTAAACTACCAAAGTGATATCTAGAGTTCATGGAGCGCAACCAGCAAGAGCCAACACTATTCCAAGAAATGGATTCTGGGGAGAAGCGCCTTAATGAGCTTGGATACAAGCAAGAACTAAGAAGAGAAATGGTTTGGCTTTATTCTTCTTTTCTTCTTTCTTGTTTGATTGTATTCTCGATTATTCCATACCTGATGCAACTGATTGTAATCCTTTCGGTTTGATTTCATCATAAACTATTTATTTGTAATCTTTAAGCGATAAGTTGATGTTCTTTTATCTTCTTGCAGACTCTGTTCAAGACTCTAGCAATATCGTTTTCAACAATGACACTATTCACTGGGATAACTCCCCTGTATGGTTCAAGCCTTCAATATGCAGGTCCTGCTAGTCTTGTTTGGGGATGGGTGGTTGTGTCTTTCTTCACCTGGTTTGTTGGAATCGCGATGGCTGAGATCTGTTCCTCTTTTCCAGTTTGTCCCTTTCCATCTTGTTGCGATTCTTTTGATCCGATTCTATTTTCATTCATGTTCATTTGGATTTTCTGCCTCCACCCATGAATCTTTTTGCCCTGCTAATAATTACCTGCTTGTCTGTTCTTTCATGTTCTGCCCATAAACATATTTAAAAGCAAAAAAAAAAGGGCCCAAAAAGTTATATCTAAGTTTTATGATGGCTTGAAGCCTTTAACTAGAACTGATGCCAAAAGATTCTAACATGAGGCCTGAGAGCATGAATATACTGTATACACGTGACTGAATCCATGTCCTCTAATCAAACCATGAATAGCATGCAGCCTTTCCACCTTGTAATCAAAGAATAACTATACGAAACGTGACCCTGTAGCCAAAATAAAAAGTGAAATGTGACCTGAACAAGGGGTTGCAGTACTCTTAGAGAGAAGAATAGGGTTGAAATTATGCAAACTATCTAATCTCTAACCTGATGAACTTTAGTGAACTGCAATATTTTGTAAAACATTTTTGTTGGGGATCCTTAAAGTAAACAAATTAATCTTGGTTGTTTCCTTAACTAGACCAATTTTAAGCTTCAAGTGGAAAAAGCTGCAGAGAAAGATGGAACAAGAAAGAGTTCCATAATAATTGTCATAGCTTACTGCAGCCGCTGTTTTAGTAACAGTATTATATGTGTAACCAGTTATCTGAAGCTTACTGCATCTAATTTTCATAGAGCCTCTGAAATTTGAGGACAATGACTTCCTCTTGCTTGTAAATTGAACAGACAACAGGTTCTCTTTACTTCTGGGCTGCCCATTTAGCTGGTCCAAGATGGGGTCCATTCTCATCGTGGTGCTGTGCTTGGCTTGAGACCATAGGGCTTATTGCTGGCATAGGTACCCAGGTACTTGCGAAGAATAGAAAAAAACAGTGTTCAATCAAACTAGTATGTTGTTTGAATTGGAAGGATAAAAATTAACTATTTGTGTTTGGCATGGAAGGCATATGCAGGATCACAAACACTGCAGAGCATCATCTTATTAAGCACAGGAACTAATAAAGATGGAGGATATTTTGCTCCAAAGTGGCTCTTTTTATGCATGTATGTGAGTCTCACTATTATATGGGCAGTGCTGAACACGTTTGCTTTGGAAGTGATTGCTTTGATCGACATAATTTCAATTTGGTGGCAGGTAAAATTTTTACATTTGCTTTTCTTTTACGCTTCTTAGTGTGTGTCTTTAATGATATGTGCAGGATTATTGCATTAGGTTTGGTTCATTTATAGCCTAAGGTGCAATAAAGAAAGTTGGCGATAGAGAAAACACAATTAGAAACCATACATTCTCTTGGCATCAGAATGTAGCAATTCTTTTTTTAAAAAAAAAAAAAAGTTAATTTCCATTCATCAAGAG